ACATTGTGCAACTGCAAGGGAGAGAAAGGGAAAGGAAAAGAACATGAAAGTGAGCGAGAGAGAAAGCAAATCGTTCGAATATTCACTATATCTATTAATGGTTTTGTTGTTCTAATTTTACGCTATATCCTTCTCAGTCGATCGCATTTGGCGATATGTTATCAGAGCAATGGCATCTCCCTCTCTCTCTCTCGCTCTCACCCTTTACTCCCGTTTATCACTAATTACAATGAAGTGCACACACATAAAAACACATTTAGGAAATTTTACAACTAATATTTATACTACAGCATACGATTTTCCATGCATTAACTAACGGGTTTGTAGGTGTGTAATAGCGAATTTGTCTGTATGACTGTGCATCATGTCATGTAGCCTGTTAACATTGTACAGATATGCAGAAGAGAAAAGTAGTTTGAATGGTTTGCGAAAAGCAACCAGCAGGGAAGCAACAGCAGCAGTTGCAGCATATTAAAATATATTTTATAAAATATGTGCAAATGTGCATATTATGCGAAAGCATCTAGAAAAATATATTTGAAGAAGAGATGAAGAAAAAAAAATTAGTGAAGCTTGCAAACGTAAACAACACATAGAAAAAGATGGAGATAGACAGAGCGAGCGACATACACACACACACACACACGACAATATCAACAACGCTCCGGCATCGGCTACAAAGGGCGTAATGGATTTGCAATTCACATTCGCAGTAATTATGAAAGGAAACCACTTAAAATGGCTTCAGGCTAAAGAAAGAGAGCGTAATGCAATGTTATTTTGCAACAACAAAAGAGAGTGTAATGCTTTGTAATGGCATCCAATACCTTTAGTGCTTTTACCAGTTCATTCTATCGCTGTATATTTTTCTATCTATGTTTCGACTTGGCTCTTTCTTTAGCCAAGAAGCTAACTAATGAACAATGAACAAATTTTTACTAAAACACAGAAGTCGCCACAACAATTTTAATTCACAAATATACATACTTTTTTTTTTTCATTTGAACACTAAATTTCCATTTTTTCAAACCAAACGAAATGCGAGAAGTATACATATCAATCCTTCAGATACAATACGGTTTATTCTTAACATAAATTGAATAAAAAAAATTATTTTGAATTTATTGCGAAAAAAAAACTTGTCGGCAAATAAATCATCGAGTAGTTAATAATAATGGATCAATTTAATTGGCAGGACACACGATTTCAACAGCGACAAGTTGATGAATTTTTGAGTACAAGCATTTGTATATGCATAAAAAAAGAAAAGATTTTTCCCTTCGTTTACATCTCATTTTCATCGCCACTTGTACTTATTATTATTGAGTCTTTATTTATTATGTTTGTTGCTCATTACAACAAAACCAATGTCATACACAGTGCAATATGGAACGAGCATAACACCATCGAATAACGAATGGTTTGAGTGACTATAAGAAAGTGAGGAGGCAGAGAAAAATATGAGTCGAAATAAAATCTGTCTATTTGCAAATACATGTATCCGTTAAATACATAAATTTTTCAATTTAAAATGTGAATTTTCTTGTCGATCAGGCCTTTTTCGCTCGTTCTCTCTCTCTCTCTTCTGGCGTGCTGTATTGTATACTACCACTCTGTCGGCTTCGCTCTCTGTCTTTTTTCTGTATCGAGTATGTAGATAAAAATCGGCGCTGTGAGAATATTTTCTTCATTCATTCGCACTTTTCGGTGGGTAGATGATATTTTAAATACAGTTTCAAAATATTATGTAATATGCAAAGTGCACCTGGGGCCAAAGCCAATAATTACCCGAATCGCTTCATTCTTTTCTCTCTCTCTCTCTCTCTGCCACTCGCCTTCATTGTATGCCAGTTATGCTCTTAACTGAAAAAAGACCCAGACTTGCCTGTTTAGACTTCGTGCTGGATTCATATTCGGTTCAACGTTACTCTCTCTCTCTCTCTGCATTTTGTTCGTTGGTTTTTTTTTAATTTTCCGGTGTCATTTCTCGCATTTCACCAGTACAAGCACTTACCCATTTGATCGGCACAGCCCTCTTTTGTTCATTTCTTCTCATTCGCTTATTATTCGGTACGTTTGTTGTACAACCATTACTATTACTATTGAATGTAACAACAACACACATTTTCTATACCGATGTTTCAGCATTTTCCGCTTTTCACGACGACGACAACTTCTCACTCTTGTAAAAAAAATTTAGCTCGTTCTCTATGAAGCTGATGTTTTTTCGGAATATTCATCGGATCTATTGATGGTGAACAAAATTATCTCGGCAAAAAATAGCCGAAAACTTATTTTTTTTTTCGTAAATTAATTTGGATAGCTTGTGGATGATGATTATTTACAATGATGTTTGTGTTGTAGTCATGTCCATAAAATTATGAGTAAGATTAGAATTGCTTGAAATTTGAATAATTTGCAATGGTAATCACTCTCGTTAAATACTTGAATCAATAATAACGATTGTTCTTTCGTTACACATGTGTCCACCTACAAAATTTATCTAATAAATTCAGTATTTATTCTTTTACATTTTGTGTGTTTTTTACGTTTTGTTTATGCAAAATAAGTTTTAGATTAAGTATTTTTGTTATGATCTGGATCACTACTTCATGCTGAGTTTGAAGAAGTTTCCTACATAATTTTTCGTTTTTTTTCTTGGTTCGCCACAATTGCTATAATCATTTTCTTTGATTTAAATGGGATGCCTCGAATCGTGGGTGGGTGAACGCCAGCACGGACGACAATCGAAATGAAAAAAAAATCGTTTTGAAAATGTAGACGGAATGTAAATGGACTTTGTTTTCATGAACTTCCCCAATTCTAGTCATACAACTAGAGCCTTCAATTCGTTTCGTAGTAAAAATGCAAAGGAGTGTATAGAAAAATGAAATAAAATAAGTAAAATTCAAAACTTATGGCTTTCAAGGAACGGTCTTTCAAGTTTTCAATTATAACTTTCATTTCACTCGATGGAAATATCGATTTTACATTGAAGTACCTTCAAAATCGAAGTGTTTTTTTGTATTTTGACATAAGAAATCGGGCAAATGAGTTTTTGTGGCAATTTTCGTTTCAAACACTGAATACTTCAATGCAATTTCGTGTTATGAACACCTTAAATTCAACCGCAACATCGAACATCATTCGAACTACAGACTGAATTAATTAAAAGACATTTGCCCAAAAAAGAGAGATTTGAAGGAGCCACAAAGTACTTAGCCATTTCGGATATTTTTTGAATGGATTCAAAGACGTAATTGAGCTGAAATTAAGAATCGAAAATATCCATCGATATCCATTAAATAAAAAAAAACGTTATTCATGAAACTAACCAAGGTAAAAACCAAGCCATGTAACAATATTCCAATGTATAGATCACTGTCATACATACAAAATCAAAACGTACCTTTTTTTTTCATATGTTTTTATTGCTGTCAATTTCAAAATGAACTTGTACTTGGCATTGCATTTTATGTGTGTTTACTTATTTTGCTTGGCCAAAAGTTTATCATATAATAATATGACCGACACTCATAAAAATGTAGTCTGGCAACAGCAACGGCAGGAACGGCATCGATATACACGGTCATATCGAATGGATAAAGATGAAACGCGTGAAAAGAACTAGTTGATTATTTTACAAACAAAACGAGAGAAAAAAAATGATGTACGAGTTCCACAGTCAAATGAAACGTATACACATACACTCCGATGTTGGTAATGTGTTTAGAACGAAGTACACCGGCTGAAGTGTGGTTGAATTATAGTACATATGGGAAGAGGTAAAAACAAAAATCCCATACCATTTCGTCGCGTCCCTCTTCAATATACATCGAAATTTATGAATGGAACAAAACTATAAAATAGCAGGGCACGCATATAAGCGAACAACCATAATAATATATTTGTTTAACATCCATAATATTTTATGTTTACAATCATTTTTATGAATTTTTCTTCAGCGATATATATGAATTCAGCGAGCGTTTTACAATTCAAGGATGACGACGATGAGATAAGGCCAAAGCAACGCAGTTGTATTTGTAAGAGAAAAAGAAATCAATAAGGCAAATCGAACCCCTTTGCATTGATTCAATGTCGTGTTTTTTTTTTAAGAGTGAAAACACCAACAAGATCAAGTTAATGTATTTATTCACTTGTTTTGCCGATGTACAGATCATACCCTCTCACCTATGTGGATTTAACTTTATGTAATCTTCGGCAACTTTCCACAAAATATAAAACATTTCACCAGAAATATACGATGATATTTAGCTCCTTCGTTGCCTCGCGTGCAAACAACCAGATCAACCCTTCGACGCATAAAACCATTTTCCTTCACTTTCTTTGCCCCGTTTTCTTTTAAATGTATGTATGACACAATTTATGCACGCATTAAATTGACATCCCCCATATGTGAATGTAACAACGCGGAAAAAGGGCATTTGACCAAATGTATAAAAGAAAATGTTTATGTCAAATGTAAAAAAAAATAATACTATGTCGATGCTATCGAAGAGGTAAAAAATGAAAAATGATATTGGAATAGATTTCAGGGAGACAGATAATCTTATTAATATTCAGATCCATTAACGTCACCATTGGATATTCAATTTGAGTCGAAATCAATTTTGCGAGTTACATTCATTTTGGTAGCAAATTTGAACACTTTTTATTGTGGCTCGTTGAATGCTCTCTCAATTATATTTCTTCGAACCGCAAGCCGTTATTCTCGTTCATAAACACACATCCAAATGCATATCGCCAATAAAGTCAACAAGTAATCTTTCCATATTTTCTCTCTTTTTCTCGGTGTGTTGCTTTCGGTCTCACTGTTAATGTATTGCAAAACAAGTAAGCCCAAAAGTTGTTGCGTCATTGTAAATGAATCAGTTAAAAACAAAGAGTTCATTGCGTTGTTCATCTCTCGATCCAAATGATAAACAAACAGACGTTAATATTGTGGAAAGAATTATCCAGTGAAAGCAAAACTGTAACGGGAACAACAGTTACATGACATTGATGTTCTTCACAACAACTTTCGACAGATACGATTTTTTTTTGCAAACAAATTTTCTGCCCATTTCAATATCAACACAATACGCCCAACTCATTCCAATTTTAACCGTTTACCTGAGTGCACGCATATTTGAATTGACTGTGGCAACATTTTTTTTTTGCAAGTCTTCAAGTAAATTGATTAAGAAAAAGTTCCATTGAAATCAGGTCATTAAAATATGGCTGACTCTTTGGAAAACCGAGTGCAACTTGCTGATGAAACCATCACAAAAATGATGGCCGATGTCAGCGAATGGAAAGTGTTGAACGACCGTTTGATTGCTCAACTGGGTAAGCGCTTTTTTATGCAAAAAAAAAATGATTGGAAAGGTATTTTTCATGTCGCTTTATTTCAGAACAAATGAAAGAAGTCAGAGAAGAGTTTCAACTCATTCGCAAAGGAGTCATTGATGATTATTACCAAAGTGTTATTGCCACCATGCTGGAAAGCAGTTCATCGGAGGATGATGCATGTGACACCAACAAAAAAAAAGTGCAAAACCAAAATGATTTACACTCACCGTCAACAACGGAAGACACCAACGCCAACAAACGCCAATGACGTTAGCCCACATCCTGATTACACAATTCGAAACACATTTTTTATTTTTCAATTCATAAAATATTTTTTTATAAACCGATTAAAACGTAATATTTTCTGTAGTTGATAAAAACTTGATTAAATTTGTTCATAAAAATAGTGAAGTTTTTCATTGTTTGTTACAATATTTCATGCGATTCAACCTAATCAAACCAGATTCTAGATTAAGAACAAAGAAATGCAATTGTTTTTGCGAATCTTTTTGCAGCGTAAGTTACGAAAAAGGCAACTGTTTAATAACATAAACTGAAATGATTGTGTTGGTACCAAAAACCAAATTACACAAAGAGATAAATTCGCATTAAGACATCCAATTCGTTGAATCAATTAAGAGATTATATCGAATGAATGTAACACTAACACATACGTGGTACGATTACGGTGTACACATTTGTTATTTTCATTAAAAACTTTCATTGTTTTGACTGTATGGTTCTTTTGACTCATTTTCGAATACATTTCAATACTGTAAACGAACCAAATTAAATGCGTCGAGCATTGATATGTAAACATTTGAAGTCTTTGTATTGGTCTGTTCGGGTCTGTTTGTTTGCGAAGACTAATACAACAACAGAAAAATATCCTGTCAATGGTTGAGCGTGTTTTAATACAAACTCATCGATTATAAAATATGATTTGGAATGTGTGAATCCATTGTGTTTGGCTTGAATTCGTTTACAAAATCAACTGTCAAACCGACTGATTGCGGTGTTACTTTGCATTGTTTTCTTGAATAATTTGGATATTTTCAACGTTTTGACAGTTTATATCGCTGATTTCATGAAAAAGTGCAATCGATAATGGCAGATCACGAGAAATATTTACAAGAATTAAAAGATTTGTTGGCGATTGGTGCGAATTTGGCAAACGATTATCATGAACGTATTGTGGAATGCGTCGAATTACAACGCTTGCAGATGTTAAATCAGCACATGTGAGTGAATTACAAGAATTCGATAGAATTTATAAATGGTACAAAATTGATGTCGAAATGATTAAAAAATGTCAAATTGTTGGATGTTTATTAATTTAAGTAATCTATTTCAAGGTTGACTTGTTTGAAAATCCACACACAAGAAATTTCAAAAGCGGGAAACCATAATATTGATGACATCAACGAAATTTCTCATGCACAGGCGGATTTTTCATACAAACTTGATACAATGGCCAAATACAGTCAGGTAATGATAAATAAGGCTTGATACGAACGCCCGATATGCATTAATTTCGGAAGATGATAAAATATGTGCTTTGTTTCTTTTTTCACAAGTGTGGCAAAGAAGAGGTAGAAATTGTGCGTCAACTCAAGGCCAACATTGAGGCAACCAAGAATGAGATAAATAAAATCAAAGCAGAATTGGCACTAACCGAAGAGACTCAACAGATGAATCGTGAAAGAAATGCATCCGCACATTCACCGGCTCGAAAGTGATAGCCTCAATACAACAACATGACAGTCATTTAGCGAACTACACATTTTCAAACATTTTAATACTTGCCCATGTGATCATTTCTTGTTTAAGCCCGTATTTTTAGATCAGTTCCAATAAACTACTTGAAGTTTCTATTTTTTTCGTTCATTATCAACTTCGTTTTTAGGCTTGAAGTTTTTTTTTTAAATAATGACCGTTTTTTATAGTTGAAGCAGGGCAAATTAATGGCAATCACGGTAAGAATGAATTCAAATATGTGAACAAAAAAGGTGGGATGAAAACAAAAAAACTGACATCGACAAAGGACCATGAAATGATGAATTAATGTACATTCGACAATTTGCCTTGTGAATGAAGTGTTTGCCATTGAATTTTTATTTGATTTCTTGTGTGACGAATTGACGTATCGCTTCTTTTTGATACAAATAATTTGCAAAATGGAAATGAAAGAAAGGATTCATACGTCATTGATAAATATCGAATCAACTTAAAAAAATTGACATCGATTAAAATTGTGAATTGATCTATTTGATTTGGTAAATGTGAATTGTTTGAACACTGGATGTGTCTGTGTGCACTCGTGTAAAATGTTTTGGAAAATTTATCCATTCGAAATCGTTACAGTATACATTACATTTTGGTTTCGCTCATTTCACCCCTTGTTCATCGATTGTTTTGTCCCTTGTAAATCGGTTCGCCATCATTTCTCAATGACAGCCCGTTAATAGTTTTCAATATTGATGCAACACATGAATGTACAAAACATTCGCAGAAAGATTTGCAAAAAGAGTTTGTGTCTTATAGTTATTGAGTCTATAATTCACTGTCACATGTTCGCTAACAATTTGAACAATCCATTGTTGAGTTGTTTTTTTTCCACGAATTTCCAATGTAAGAACAACATTAAGAAATTGTCCAAACTTCAACTTTCAATTTTATTTCATTTGTTATGTTTGTAAAAAATCTGTTGCTATCATCGATTCACTACAGTTAAGCGGAGTCATTGTTCTCAATCATTCATTTTCGAGAGGAGTTCACTCATTCTATTTATCAATAGCAAAAGGGAGACGGAAACAGAGGAGGTGGAGAGATGATTTTCATTTAGTCATTATGAGCATCAAACCACGTTATTTGTTTCCATCGAAATTGGTGTATATATTTTGCACATAAGATGCAAATAGTGATGAAAAATAAAATTACCCCGAGCTACGAATACGATATAAAAATCGATTCGGTTTTGTGTGTGTGTGTGTGTCTCGCTGAAAAAAGGTGACATTTCCGAATAGTGGTCACTGGATGTGCTAATCATTCGAACATAAAAAAAAAGAATAACCAACAACAAGATATTTCGATGTAAAAAAGGTATATATCCCAATATAATGTGTGCTGTATGGATGCTATAAAAACCAATTTCAATTTCAATGAAAAAACCAGAACGGAATAAACAAACAAATACTCTGGTAATGGTTTGTGTGTCATGTTATTACAACATTACGCGCTGTGAGAAACAGTTAATGCAGTAAAAAGATTAGAAACATTGAACGAAGTGGAATTGAAAATGTGCTTAGTCCTTTGCTTTTATTATATGATATGATATTATATATTTGTGTGTTTGTATAGCCCGTTGTCAACTCTAGGGGGCCATATCTTTTATCCATAGATTTCATTTCGTTTTTGCCATTTCTTAAGGTTGAAAATCATCAGTCAAAGTATTCGCCATGGGAAAGAGCAAGAAATTTTGTGCGAAGTATAACACCTTCACTAGACAACAAACCATCAACCAAACCCACTACACAAACTGAAAGATGTTGGTGTGTGTGCATGTTTTTCGTGTGTCTTTCGATACGCATACATGCGTTACATTAAATATTAATGTGATTTGCGATAGTCACACCGGTCCACCGTATCGAAAAAGATAAAACAATTTATCCGATCATCATTCTCTCGTCTTTCCCTTTCTTGATCGTTTGTGCACATTTGATATTCAGTGGATGTGGTGTGGGTGGGTGTGCGTGTGGTTGTGCGTGACTGTAATGTGAACACCAGTGTCCTGCTACTCGTCGTTTCGTTTTTTCCAATTAAATGAGACCATTAGGCAGTTACAACTGATGGAAAATCAAACGAACGCGCCATAAGAATGGACACAACCAAAGTGTGAAACCATCCGAGAGAGAGAAAGAGAGAGAGAGAGAAAATTGATATGTAAACCACTAAAGTTGCAGTGAATCATTAATTTTAAATGAGTGGGCAACAACCCGTTTACTTTCACTTGCAAATACGACCGATATTTCTAAGCAAATTGTATAATAGATGACAAAGATCTTATTCAATAGTTAAATTGTTTTCGATTGAAATATCAATTACAACTATTTTTTTTACATTCTATCCGCAACGTTAAAAATCCTGGCAAAAAATATTTCACAGTGTTGTTATGCATGAATACATTTTTTTTTCACCCGAACCAAATTTTGAAGATCCAATAGACGAAATTTTTCTGCTCTTTCCGGATGACAATAATCCCTTCGATTTCAAAGTCAAAATCTTCTTTTCAAAGTCTTTCGAATCCACAACTGGATACTCGATCTTCGTTAATTTAAAAGGATCTTTTATGGATGAAATTGGCTTTATTGGGTTCGGTTTAAATTCTCGTATTGCTTCAACTTTATTTACTGTCGCTCTTAACCAACTGCACAAATTTGGCGTTCCCTCTCCATAATCTTCAATTTCTTCTTCGATAATTTTATATATTCGATCATAAGATGATTTCTTATCTATAAAAATGAATCGTTTATTTTTCATGAAATTTATCAATTTCAGAATTATGTTCAATTTTAATATGTCACATACCATGAGTGTTATGGCATTAGCTATTTGATCTTGGGTTGTAACATTGTAGAGTTCAACATCAACATCCAATTGATCACACATAAACTGAAGAAAAGAGTGCCAATCACCTTTTGCCATCTCTATTCCAGACTTTAGTGATGAGGAGCTTATTTTTGATATGTTGTACATCTTCTCGGCTCTTTTAAAATCTAAATGTTAACGGGTCTTAAATGTTTGACGCAATTTGGCAAGTCATTGTCGAAAGCAATGGCAAAATAACATTTGACGTATAGAAAAATCAACAAAATTCAATTGAATTCAAGCACATTATGACGATTGAAAATATTACCTTTTTTTAAATAAAATAATCATCGCACGAAACGTACTAGTAAATTACTACAAAGCGATAAATAAATAGATCTTCAGAACAGCATTAAACTTCGTTACATAGAAGAAAAGAATGGTTTTTTATGGATTTTTTTATAAATAGAATATTGACTTAGTGTCGATGGTGACAGCAACTTTCCATTTGCTTATGCTGCTTTTTGTAATTGCTAAGTTTTAATAGAATTACTTATTCTCGCAATGATAAACAAAACGTTTTCTTCGCATCACATATTCAGAACGCGTCGCGACTCACCACACAAACCTGATTCTCTCAAGACAAGAAACAATAATTCGGTGTGCATAATATATTAGGGCGGATGAATGTGTTGATTGTTAAACAAAATGTACAGAGTATGCTAGTTTTTGCCATGTCAAAGAATGGCATTTCTTATCCAAAACCATTCTTGGTATTTGGAATTCAACGAGAAATAATCAAAAATGAAATGAAACATTTTCAACATTTTATATTAGAAAGAGTAGAATATACTCTCGAATGTAAGTTGCTGAAAAATCTTCCAAGTAGGAAAACATGTGTATAAAAAGTGCTCTGATTTTTTAACCTAATCAAATTAAATGCATTTCAATTAGTTTCTTCTGAAAGTTTCAATCAAAATGATAAAATCGCAAAGAGAATCTATCTACCCTACTTCCAGGAAAAAAGACAACACATATCCATCATGAACACACATCTAATTCCATCTAAAAATTGTATTGTGCACAAAACAATCAACAATTATGTATATCAAGTTAAATTAACTGAATTTAAAGTTGAATTAGAATCTAAACTCGTTACGAGTTTAAAGAAAGTTTTAAGTCTCCGACCATTTCGAAAACAGTTAATTTTTCTGTCTACCGTCTCGCAAACATTATTTCAAGAAATCAATTATGAAAACTCCATGATATCTATGAAATATACATTATTGTCATAAAATTGCTACGACTATATATTAAAAATCCAATAAATATAGATAATTTGCTCATGTGATTTTGAATTTTCTCCAAACGAAAAAAAAAAAAAAAACAAATTACATATAATCAAACGGAAACAATTTCAAAATTTCACTCTTCCAAAGCCGAAAGTGAAAGCATACGATGGACGAATTGAAAGAGTGAGTGAAACAAAAATGACATCATTTAATCGATCGCATCGTGTAACCCTACATACATCAATCTATAATAATGTTGTTAAAGTGAACAATGCATGAATGAATTTGAAATAAAAGATACAAAAAATTGTTAATCAAGCATTGAATGTGCAAATACTATTAAGAAGAATAACAATAAACGATTTTTGCGAACATTGTATTAATTTTCATCGTTGCGCTCTCATTTGAAACCATTATCGGATATGAAACGTACATACACAGTCTGTTTACAACACAAATGACAACTAAATCGTCTACACTTAAGTCGTTCATACATCGTCGAATGCACACACAGGCGAATGGTACAATATGAATGTCGGCAAATCAGACATATCGTACACACACATACACACCCTAACACGCGTTCAACTAATACAAATGGACACTCAAACACAGCCAACATCAATACTGGAGAATAAGAGTGGAAGAGACGTATAGTGTGTACGCACAGGCGCGCCAACAAAACCGACAGCAGCAATACACAGTTGCTTTTATTCAACTTTTGACTTTTTGCTGGTGAAGTTTTGATAGATATATACGCTAAGTTAACAAAACAATCAACCGAAACTAAATCGACACAAAAAACGATATTCAAAATTGAAGTGAAAACAAAAGCCAAATCAACAGTGATTTTTAGTTAGTTTTCTATTGTGTCAAATAATTGTTTTGAATAAGAAAGAACCAAACGTATTCTTATTCAGTTTTCGATTGACATTCGAGTTTAAAATCGGTTGTGAATCCTTCAACAGCAATAGAAAAGAACATTTATTTGGTATTATTTGATTGTGAATCTCATACAACATAAGAAATACACACACTCATAATCATGGCGGCCGTTGATGTTGAGCAAATATCAAAAGTATGTATCATATGTTTAACGATTCGTTTTCTATCGGCAAATGAATGCGATTTTGTTTTTGAAAAACAGCAACCACATTGATTTATCTCTGAGAGTTGTTTTCAAATCGCACAAAACCATAGAAAATATATATGTTGAATTTCAAACAAAAAAATTCTCTGCTTTTATTCAAATTCGACACATTTAAAAAATCCTTTTTCACCAAAAAAAGAAACAACATTCATTCAAGAGTAAAATTGTAAGAATTTGCTGGATGCGGTTCGTTATTGCATTCAGTTAGGGCGTTGTTTATTACTTCCATTGACAGTACCACTAATGTTTCATTCACAAAGGCATTTCCGCAAACTCTCGGAAAAGACATGTACGTTTTACTTGGAATAGTATAGAATTCAACGTTGTTTATAAAATCTATGACTAAAATGGGTTTATTTCACAATTTTTATTTCTCTTCAAACAAATTACTCACTCCACACACACACACACAGACACACATGCATGTTTTCAATGTCACGTACTTACGCATTTGTACAGTTTTCTTATGTGCATGCATATTATGTTTGAATTCCAAGTATTCATATGTCGTATTGTACACTGATTTCCAGCTAAAAAAAAGTCGATTGTCTCCTATGGTAGTAATTATGGTTCTTAATGAAATATTTCATTTCAATTTGGGCAGAAATTATGTTCAATAAACGAGGTTATTTAGAAAGCGATTTTTTTCTCCTTTGGACAATTCAATCCAGCCAGATTGAATGTGCTGAGAATGGCAAAATGGATAGAAATTGTAATTATACAGTTGCTTTAAAATAAACAAACGAAATACAAACACATATAGAGACAATATAGTTCGATTAAATATGAACGTTTGGTTTGACTAATCAACGGACTTCCAATCGTTTTGAAATTATTGCACGGTTTATTGAATGCAATAGAATTCTTTATGTGATTCAACCATTTATATTGTTCCAATAGCGAATCGAATACTAGAAGTAGAGAGACTGTGAAGGGAAAGAAAGAGAGAGAGAGTAAATTATTAGATTTGGTTTAAAATCAATTTGATTACATAGTGTACACTTTTCATCATTGGCAAAGCAAACAATAATTAAATTATGTCGACTTTTAATTGATATTCATGACCGTGTACGCGACAAAATGGAATGACAGAATGAGCCCGGTGAAAAGTGTGCCTTGACCGTTTCGTATACTTTTTGTCATGTTATTGATCAAAATCGCAGACACTCTTTGAATAACAATGAAAGTACTGCTTTCTAAACAAATAACCATTGTTTGAATAAATTAGTCAGCCAGAAGAGAAGAGAATTTTAGAATGTTTGACTTTCTACACGAACTGCAACAAGCAATTTTTTCTATATATTAATGTATTTCTAATTTCTTTTATAGCTTGATCTAACACCGCGAACATTGAAATTGGCTGGACATGTTGGATTCGATAGTTTACCAGATCAATTGGTAAATAAGAGCGTTCAAAATGGATTTGTGTTCAATATCATGTGCATTGGTAAGAATATTAATAGCGTTAACAATGATGCGGTAGCATTTCTCTGTCTCTCTCTTTATTTTGCTATTTTGAATTGCGTATAATAAATAATAAAATAAAATAATGTGAAATGTTTCTAGGTGAAACTGGTTTAGGTAAGTCAACATTGATGGATACATTGTTCAATACCAGTTTCGAATCAACACCAAGTCCTCATACGTTGCCAAATGTAAAATTAAAATCGCATACATATGAATTGCAAGAGAGCAGTGTACGATTAAAATTGACGATTTGCGATACGGTCGGATATGGCGATCAAATTAACAAAGATGATTCGTTCAAAGCCGTTGTCGACTACATTGATGCACAATTTGAATCGTATTTGCAAGAAGAATTGAAAATAAAACGTGCACTATCCACATGTCATGACAGTCGAATTCATGTGTGCTTGTATTTTATATGTCCAACGGGTCATGGTCTAAAATCACTTGATTTGGTGTGCATGAAAAAGCTCGATACCAAAGTAAATATCATACCGATCATTGCAAAGGCTGACACAATTTCAAAGACCGAATTGCAACGTTTTAAATCGAAAATCATTCAAGAGCTATCAGCGAATGGTGTTCATATTTATCAATTTCCCACGGACGATGAATCGGTATCGGAGGTGAACACATCGATGAACAGCCATGTTCCATTTGCCGTTGTCGGCAGCACCGACTTTGTTCGCATGGGCAATAAAACTGTTCGCGCACGCCAATACCCATGGGGTACAGTCCAAGGTATGCTATACACAATGCACACAACGTGCATTCCAATTTTCATTTAATTTTTTTTTTTTATTTTGTTGTTGTTTCTCTTTCGGTCATCATCAGTTGAAAATGAGAATCATTGCGATTTTGTGAAATTACGCGAAATGCTCATCCGCACGAATATGGAGGATATGCGCGAAAAGACCCATACCAGACACTATGAATTGTATCGTCAAAAACGTCTCGAACAAATGGGATTCACAGACGTAGACAGCGATAATAAACCAGTACGTTGACAGTCACAGTCATCTCCATTTTGATTGTGATTGAATTTATCAGAAATCAAATTTTTCGAATTGACCACACACACTCACTCACATTTTATCTTTTATGTTCATTGTTTTAGGTATCATTTCAGCAAACATTCGAAGCAAAACGTTCGAATCATTTGGCTGAATTACAAAGTAAAGAAGATGAAATGCGACAAATGTTTGTTCTTCGTGTCAAAGAGAAAGAAGCTGAACTGAAAGAAAGTGAAAAGGATGTAAGTATTTATGAACGAACACATCTCACAATCGTATCGATATTTAATGATTTCTTTACAGTTGCATGCCAAATTCGATAAATTGAAAAAGGATCATGCAGAAGAGAAACGAAAACTCGAAGAGGCACGAAAAAAATTGGAAGAAGAATTTTTGGAATTTAATCGCCGCAAGACACAGATGACTGCTTCCCATCACACGCTTACGCTTGGCAAAAAGAACAAAAAATAAACAACACTTTATTCATCCTACATCGACATCATACAACAACAACAAAAACGAAGAATCGAATTACTATAGCAACAGAAACTGCAACAACAGCAATTACAAACAAGTTACATTTACTATTTTGATCGTACGCAATCACGTTAACAAATTTCATATATGATTTAAGCAAATTTATTTTATTTTAAAGTTGTAATATTTATGAAGAGTTCATGTATGAAAAGAAACTAGTTTTTTAAGACGGGATATGCGTTTTTTTGTATCGCTTCCATAAAGTCATGATGTAATAATGCTCTTTTTGATCAAATGCTTCGGCATAGTGTAAGGCAATCCATTTTATGGCTCAATTTGGTAAATACAAAATCGTTTCTTTTTCGTTTACTGTCCGACCTGTTTTCAAAACCATTACATATTCTCACAGAAATCATATTATCAGCTTGTTTTCTCCCAAGGGAACAACGTTTTTATATGATCCAATTGCTTTTCAATCACAATTAGTTTTCATTTTTATCTAATTTGATGAAATGCTTCAAATTAAAATGCGGCTTGCAATTTTCAAAACATTCATAAAACTACATATGTATACATATTTTTTTTATTATTGCATAATTTAAGATTTTCATTTGATTATACTGACAATTGTATAGAACTGATGCATTAAATCAATTTCACAATGAATAAAAAAAAAATTCGTTTTTTGTGCAATCTTCTTTTTCAGCCTGGATTTATTTGGAACAAATTAAATCGAATGAAATTTGACAAAATCAACTACAGTCAATTCGATTTTTAAAGAGGCTAATTGATACTTTAACTGGTTCGTTCAAGTAAGTCATACCGTCTAATATATTTTACAGTGAAGAATTTGACAGATTCAGTTCAATTTCTTAATCCAATTTTATCTTTTGAGAAACGAAAATTACCGGATGGTTATCGATTTGAAAAACAAACTCAGTACATCTTTTGGCTCGTGCTAACTGTCTAGGGGCTACTTTTGATAATTGCTGTTAATCAGCAGCCAAAGTGGATTCTTTCGACCTAACGTCTTCACCACACTGATTTTGTATGAGAGTGAAAGGTAGAGTATAATCTCCAAACTCTTCTATTTTCTCTTTTATGCGAAGTCAATGCAGGCAGTTTTCCCAGCAAACGATATTATGTTGTCGTACATGGTAACTCAGCTCTGGTGAACTGCAACTATCAACAGCAGCAGTTGGCCATTTAACTGTATTCGACAGCGGCTCTTTAAAAAAAATCTGAGAACGCTTCGCTCTAGATAATTTTATAGCGATCTTGATTTCCTAGAGTTTCGAGAAGTAAAATTCTTTCGATTTGTTTGGGAGGTTGTAACTTGTTTACGAAATTCTCTCCCACCATAATGATTATTTTACCTCTTTTCTATTGTTCGCAATAGATACAATAGACTTTTGACGGCCCTGTCTCGAATTTTCTCGAGGATATTTGCCATTACCGCTCCAAAAAATGTTGGCGTCAACACCTATGTTTCATAGAATTGAATCATCGCTTTAAAACGAATTTAACAACAATTATACGATTGTTCGCCGTACATTTGAAATAAATTAAAATAGAAGTTCAAACTACTCTATGAAATAATAGAATTTCTAATCTCGAAAATAATAATTCATATTCATGTTGTTTTTGAGGGGGGGAAACACGTGAAATCGTATTTTTTGTATTAAAATAATTTAATTGAATTTCAAAAGAGCAATAGTTCATTTCGTACACGAAACCTGACGTCCCAATATGTACGCGAAAAATAGTTTTTGCCACATCTAATTATGTCGGCAAAAGATAATAATCAGTTTGGCAGAAGTTTCTTTGTTTCATTTAAATCGATTTACTGACGACGCGATCGCGTTCAATTCAACAAATGCTCGCTCGATGCAATACAACCATTTTTATAGGTGCGATGAGTGTTATGTAGATAAGATACGAGAGTTGCAAAACTGAGGGGTACATTTTCAAAATTCACTTTTAATTAAATAATCAAAATGAAATCATTCTTCTTCGCCTTCGAAGATTCCAACCGGCCATTGTTTGCTGTTATTGAATTATGCATTTTCACTGATGTGAATCTTTCATTATAAAAATTACTTCCACCGAAATATAAAGCAATTCAAAGGCGGCGCGTCAAAAATTCAAATCAAAATTTAGCAACACAACGCAAATTGCACGGTGTTCAACGTAGGCGCGCTACTCGGCTGTTGATTTTAATTTTGGTCTGGAAGGTGATGTAGTAAGTTTATAAAATAAACGCTAAATTCTAAGTGTAATTTCACTTCATTTTAAGCAGTGATGGTTTTTTCCTATCTGAATAGCGCTAGCTATTCGCAGCGCCTGTACAGCATTGCTGCCCAGATGCTGAATCGTAGCGGTTGCCGCACGTGCAACACACTTCGTTTGTACCACAAAGAGCATATACGTTCGCATTCGTTCTCTGTTCGACATGCGTTTGTATACTGACTATAGTATTAGTGTATCATACTCTGTGAGCTCACTGGTTACTTAGACTATATGACAATATGTTGTGTGGTACAAAACGCGTGCGGCAACCGCTTCGATTCAGCATCTGGGCAGCAATGCTGTTCAGACGCTGCGAATAGCTAGCGCTATTCAGATAGGAAAAAACCATCACTGATTTTAAGGCACATAATGAAATAACTTCGTTCAACAGTGCATTAAATTTGGAAAATTTATTTTTCAACTTGACCGTAATTAATCATGTTGCTTCCGTTTGCTTCACGTTCGTATTTTCAACATGCATCTTCGAACATTTTCGTGAATACTTTGTTTTACACTCGGCGAACAACATGTAGTCTTTGTTTTATTTTACGAACGTAAAGCAATTGTGGTGGAATAACACCGAATCAAACATAGGGCGCATCAAAGATATGCACAAGAGAGCACAACTGTTTAAGTCATCAAACAGGTGTCTTATTGTCCTGACATTGGTTCAGCACTGTAACTTTTGCTGAAGTCTCTCATTCATAATAATCGAATGAAGAAAAAAGAAAACAACAAACAATTACGGAAAATTAGATTCGTTTTACTTGAGATCTACTAAATTACTTTTGCTGCTATTATAAGTTTATTTAATTTCAATTTCTATTCTGAAATCAGTTCGAGAGTTGGGTTTTAGACATTGATGTTTATGAAACATCGATACAATTTGTTATTGTATAAAGATGTTCAATCATGTTTGTAAATGGCGTAAAAATATTTTTCAACTCATTTCCATTTGATATAATTTTCACGGTGAAAGTTTTTCCACTTCACTTTTGTGAAGAAAAGCCACCCAAAAAGGGGACATTTTGATGTTTGACTCTATTCGTTATCGCAGTACCACAATTCTGATGTACCGGGATTCCGTCAAAACTGTTGGGAATAAAACCGTTTTTTTATTTAAAAAAATCGACTCAAATTAATAGATCTACTCTTTAAATTCTGAACATTTCGTACGAAATTGTATCGTAGAATCGTGGCAGGTTGATCAAACTTCCCAATCCGATGCAAGCTATACCAATGGCCATAGGTACTGACGGGAATTTTTTAGGAGGGAAGAGCGATGGCAAAATCACGTAGGGTCCCTGGCAAAATCCGTGGAGGCTTCTCACAAGAGTCATATTTATCTAGTATCCCTTTTACTAAAAAGGGTTCTCGCGGTAAAACATCAAGTAAAACTTGATCATTCATTCCACTTCGGAAGAAATTGCGTTGGAGAGGAATTAAGCTCAAGAATTTCTAGCAAATCAAAAAAAATTCTCTTGGCAAAAAACCCTAGCAATTCGAAAAAATCTAAGGTCCCCAAGAATGTTTTTAGGGTTCTGAATGTTTGTCTGGCTCATTAGAGCGCTCCTCTCACCTATGCTGCTAAGAAAACAGTCTCTGATTACAGCGATATCGTTTATATATTATTATTAATATTGTTATGTGTATAATTAAACCACACTGAATTGTGGATGCTTCGGTTTGAATTTATTCATTCGCTTATTTGTTTTGAAGAATATTTTCTAAAAGAAATGCGATGCTTTTAGTGAAGAGAGATATTTTCTACATTCAACAAAATATGTCGCGAATGAAAGACAAAGTGAAAAATAAATGTGAATACAAATCCAATGGAACACACTTACCACATATAATTCTTGTGTTTATTTATATATATATATTTTTTTAAATCACTTGGGTCTTATAAATATGGTTTAAGGATTTGACGGACTTTGTTATTCTCGTATGGTTTGTGTTTTATTTCTCGCGTTCGTTGTATGTGTGTAACATGATTTGATGCTTCTATTCAAAGTATTTTTCAACTTGTGCGCAAATATTTATCGAAATAAGACAACGAAAATAATGTCAATTTTCCATTTTTTGTAATCAATTGTTTTGCATTGATTTCAGTTTCAATATTTTCAACATTTTTCATGCGACAAACCATACACAGCGAGATAACCACACAAGCCAAAAGTAAAGATAACATTGGCACTGATGTGCCCCTTATCAAATGAAGATAAATTATTTGGTAGTAAGAGAGGAAAACACCGAAACACATAGCATATGGTACATTCACTGCGATGCAAATAAATAGAATAATAAAATTCACATTTATTTGAGGAAGAAGAAGAAGAAAAAAAAGTAGACAACCATATAAAATTCATTTCCATTTTGTGTATAATAAATTTTAATGTAAAATTTCCTGATTTATTCATCTAATACTTCTTTCGATCTTTGGCATGAAGTATAACACACACAAAACACCCAGCGGTGTTTCGTGGATTTTCGTGCAGCATTTTCCACCATCTGTGTCACAATGAAATCGGCGTCGGCCAATACGAGATATAAACAAAAAGAATTATTGTTGGTGGTTTTTTTCTTTGAAAGCAAAGCACTTACCGTTTCGCGTGCTCCGTACAGTTTTGTACCAAAATTCCATTATACAATCGTTAAGATTATGAATTAACACGCATATAAAGAAGCAAACATTTTCCACTCATCTAAGTGGGCCAAAAACAATTATTTGTTAGACGAAACGATATTATAAATTGTGTTCATTTCAAAGGAGTTTTTTTTCGTTTCATTTTTATTGTTGATCTGTTCGAAGGGCAAGATTCTATTGAAATAAATATAAATTCAGGATACGTAATAAAACTCTAACATTTCATTCAAAAGATTTTTATGACAAAATACGAATCGTCTGTAATATACGGTACATATACATTCGGCACATAT